CACATACACACACACACACACACATATATATATATATATATATAAAACCTGTAAAAAAAAAAAAAAGGTAAATATAGACATGTCTCTGCATAATTTATGTTGTATTAGAGGTTGTTTTTTTTAGCACATTCTTGCAAGAACAAACTAATTTAAGACTCACCTTGTTGTCGCGCTCTGTTGAAGACCTTGATGTCTTTGAGTTGGACGCCGATGCCTGTCCTCAGACTTACTGAATCAGTTGCATTATCTTTACTGCCACGCTTTATTGAACCATTCGCATGAGTCCTAAAGAAATAACATGTTTTTTTTTATTTTTTTTTTTATTTTTAATAAATACAATTATAATTGGGATGTCCAATTTACATATGTATAGTTCTATGTAATACTTTTAACATATAGAAATTTGACACTTCTGCTTTAACATCATCTGGTTGAACAAAGTTCAAATGCTTTTAAATAGGGATAGCAAATGAAATAAAGTTGTATTAAACAATGCTGTAGATTAAACATCATGTTGGTGATGAGGAACGAATAGTTTCACGTGTACAAGCTTGCACTGACCGGTCGCTCCAGTATATGTAGCTCTCAAACACAGATACGGAGAACATGTCCATGTTGTTGCTGGAAAGCACCACCTCTCTGTTCTCGCCCCTCTCCAGGTTAATGCGCTCAATCTTATCCGTGCGCGCGTCACACCAGTACAGCCAACCCTCCTACAGGACACACAGACCATGACCACAAATTTAGTCTGTGTTTTTGTTTAGTATGCATCTATATTGAGTCGTCAGTTAATAAGAGAAATTTGCTTGAAGTTTCTAGTACACATCTTCATGTAATATGCAAATTTTTCTCCAAACTCTAGTAAGCAGTAGAAAACATGTTAGCAATATGCTAAATCATGCTAAAACATGTTAGCATTGTGTTAATTCATGATAGAAACTTGCTAGCAACATGCTAACACATGCTAGCAATGTGCTAAATCATGCAAGAAACATGCTAAAACTATCAATAACCAACTATCTATCTATCTATCTATCTATCTTGCTGTCTCATATGGTCTTAAAACCTTCAAACTTCAAGCTTTTAAAACTGCTTCAAACCTAAAATCTACAGACATTACTAAAATCTACATTAAATCTACTTCTAACTTTCTGAACAGGCTTTTTTCAAGCCAACATCAGAGTTTGCCTTGTCAAACATTATTATCTACGTTCATTATTTTTCATCTTAATTTACATGTGAAAATGTCACAATTTCAGCTTTATTGAGCACTGGTGCCAACTGTCCCTTCGCGGCACCTGGTGGTGATTTCTTGAACGAGTTTCACATGTAACTGGTTTGTATTTACCACTGCGGCAGATGGAAAAGGTGGACAAAGTGAGAAAAACTGTATAAATAAATGAATAAATGAATAATCGAACATGATTCATTTTCTATTTGGTTTAGGAATGCAAATTCAGAACGTTTGATTAGGTCCAATTCATAATGATATTCAGTTCAATTCAATTTTGATGATTTGTCAATGCATCAGTAAACGAGTGAATGATTACACCCCTAGTGCTTACTAGAGTTTAAAAGTATTAAACTGACACAGGGTTGACATAAATGTGCCCTACGCACCTGATAGTCAATGGAGATGCCGTTGGGCCAGCTAATACTGACGTTCACCAGCACGGCTCTGTTAGATCCATCCAGACGAGATCTTTCTATGCGTGGATACTGTCCCCACTCCGTCCAGAACAGATACCTGCACACACAACCAGCCATGAGGAGATCGCCGCTTCATTCATGCTGCAGAAACGCACAATAAAAGACAGGAAGTTACTCGGATCTCACCCTTTCTCAGGATGTACAGCAATGGCCCGAGGTTTGTCCAGTCCTCGGGAGATGACCACATATCGAAACGAGCCATTCAATCTGGCAACCTCAATCACATCAAAGCCCTGGTCCGTCCAGTAGATGTTTCCTACAGCACACAGAGGAACAAGGCAAGGTTTTGCTCATCAGTGTTGTAATAAAGCTCTAAACGCACCTGAAAGTGTCTGTGCTTGAGACTCACCGGCGATCCAGTCGACAGCGATGCCCTCCACACGACCGATGCCGTTAGTGATGATGTCCTCTCTCCACGTCTGATCTCTCTTAGCTCTGCTGATGGTGCTCAAACCCATGTCAACCCAATAGATGGTGTCATTATCTACATGACAACAGAATGAACACACGTATGAATTATTAAAAAAATTAAAGACAGTTACTGGGGAAAATATGAATTTTACAGTTCTGGATACATTGTATATTGACACCAGAACCTAAAAATAACTCATGGCTGTTAGATAGTTGCTGGATGTTATTCCAGCAATGCTAAATGACACAATATAATAACAGATATGGCATGAGATCATCTGGCTGCATAGCATCCTTTGAGGCCACTACAGTTTTCCCAATATCAGAATCCCCGTAGATTTCAGGAACCAGTATATTTTTTACAATTCTTGATACTATTTGAATATCCTAAAATGCCACAATATATGCTACTGAACTCACTCAAAAAAAAAAAAAAAAAAAATTAAAGCAACAGAATGTAGTCAAGAAATTCACAAACAAACCAAAAAAATAAAAAATAAATGCTTCAAGTAATTATTAAAGTACATAATAATAAAATTCATTAAAAGGCAAAACTACAGGCAAGAGAATGAATTATAAACAATATACAAGGATACAAATGAGGTAAATTACATCACAATGTATATAAGAGACAGGGTGCTTTTTGAAGCCAAAATATATACTGCAACAGCAAAAAAACAGACTGGAACATATTCATATAATTTACTGACAGACAAAACAAAATATATATATATATTTTTTCCAGCCCAATTTAACACCTGATCATATGTGACCCTGGACCACAAAACCAGTCATAAGGGTCAAATTGTCGAAATTGAGATTTATAAATCATCTGAAAGCTGAATAAATAAGCTCTACATTGATGTATGGTCCACTATTGTACATCTGAAAACATGGGGATTATGAATCATTAGTGTTGAGACTCACCGGCATGAAAATCAATCCCGACGGCGAGTGATGTTCCTGAAACCGGTACAAGGGCATCGGATTTGTCAGCGGGGTCTAGTGGGATTCCTCTAATGCCCTCATGAACAGAGTACAGCAGGAAAGAGCCCACACCTGAAATCAACACAACAATCACCACGCTTCAGGCGGTTTCTTCAAATACAGGCCTTAATTCATTCATTCATTTCCCTCCAAAACTAATCTTAATATACATTGCCGTTCAAAGTTTTAAAGGTCTGCTCACCAAAGCTGCAGTAAAAACAGTAATAATGTCAATATTATAATACCTTTTTTCAATTGTAATGTATTTTAAAATGTAATTCATCCCTGTGATCAAAGCTGAATTTTCAGCATCATTACTCCAGTCTTCAGTGTCACATGATCCTTCAGAAATCATTCTAATATGCTGATTTATCAATACTGAAAACAGATGCTGCTGCATATATTATGTAAACCGTGATACTTTTCAAAAGAAAAGTTCAAAAGAACAGCATTTATTTGAAATGAAAATCTTTTATAACATTATATACGTCTTAATAAATTGAGATTTGCAGAAAATCTAGTTAAACCTACAGTGTTGAACTGACTTCTAATATTATTGAGCTGTTTTCTGCTCCTCTGTAAGTTTGGTATGGTGTTTCCAGCTGTTCTCTGAAGGAAATGCAAACACTGTGGTCTATTGTACCTCCATGTCATTTTTCCAAAAGGAAGTGACACATAATTGAGAGTCTGAATGTCAGGTGTGTGTGTGTGTGTGTGTGTGTGTTCGTACCCTCACAGGACTGCTGTCCGGTCCTCAGGCTGTATCCCGCGGTGCACATGCAGGAGCGGCTGGTGGGAGACGTGGGCAGACACAGCTGAGAGCAGTCACCATTGTTGTTACTGCACATGTTTGAACCTGATGATACAACACACAGAGTCAAGGCCAGCAAACTCACGTTTAGCTAGGGGATGGATTTCAGTACAAACTGTCTAACAAACCACCCACAATTCAGTTTAACCAGAGGTCATCTGCACTAACTCTGTAAAGTAATGTGACATAAACATTTAAATTAAGGAGTAGTTAATGAAAACATGCTGAAAAAGTACTAAGCCTCAGGCCATCCAAGATGAAGAGAGAAATGTATCATTCCATCACTGTCTCAGCAATGGATGCTCTGCAGTGAATGGGTGCCGTCAGAATGAGAGTCCAAACAGCTGATAAAAACATCACAATAATCCACAAGTGATCCACACCACTCCAGTCCATCAGTTAACATCTGGTGAAGGGGAACGCTGCGTGTTTTTAAAAAATAAATCCATCATTATAAAATTTGTAAGACATTGTTTGAGTCCATAATCCATAATATTGCTTTCTCCAGTGAAAAATTCATCTGGTCTGAATCAGGAGAGACATCTGCACAGATGAAGCACTGTTTACAAACCAAATCTGTTCAAAACAGATCTAAACAAATTTGTGGGTGGATTTTGATGTGAGAAGACAACAAGGGATGAAGTTTTTCACTGGAGGAAGCGTTAATATTATGGACTCGTATTTTAGCCAAAGTTAAAACACTTTAATGATGCATTTGTTTCATACAAACATGCAGCTTTTTTGTTTCACAAGATGTTAACTGATGGATTGGAGTCGTGTGGTTTACTTGTGGATTATTGTGATGTTTTTATCAGCTGTTTGGACTCTCATTCTGACGGCACCCATTCACTGCAGAGCATTCTCTGGTGAGTAAGAGATGTAATGATAATTTTCTTGAAATCTGTTCTGATGAAGAAACAAATTCATCTACATCTTGGATGGCTTGAAAGTGCGTACATGTTCAGCAAATTTCATTTTTGGGTGAACTATCACTTTAAATTAAGTCAAGGTCATTATTTTCAGCCCAAACAATCCTTTTTTCAATGCTAATGAGGCTCGATGTAGGCACAAGGAGCTAGCCTGAAAATTGCAATTTGCACTCAGCACAGATTTTTTTTGTCTGTCAACTGAATAATTCCTTAGACACTGCATGCAGTTGATTCTTTAACCTGTCTGCATGGTCTCATTGTAGATCTTCATGTGCATCATGGGAGACGTGCTGTTTCTCAAGACCTTCCAGTCTCCTCCATCACTCTTATCACAGGTGCCGATCTCATCCGTGCCCTGATCCGCCCACCACAGCTTATCCCCTACACAACAGCAGTCAAAACATTAGTACTTCAAAAAGACAGCCAATTAAACAATCAGTGCTGTATTTACCCATTATAGCCAGCGCAGAGGCTTTGTTCAGTTTGCCTTTGACCGCGTCTAACACCTCCAGTCCTGATCCGTCCAGCTTACAGCGGTTAATTGTGCTGTTTCCTGAGCTGATCCAGTACAGGTGCTCCGTGTCGTAGTCTATGGACAGACCTGCAGCACAGACACAGACCAACAGCTCAAAAGAATGCAGATGTGCTTTATAATTCTCAATGGTTTCTGAACTGTTTAAAAATGTTTTACTGTTTTATACTAACGCACTGCACAAGTTATTATAAAGAAGGTCATCAGTCACATTGGGTCTCATTTACTAACCACACATATAAACATACAGGTAACAGTTTACAGTAAGGTTCCATTTGTTAACTACATTAGTTATCATAGTTTCAATACTTCTAAAACAGTATACATTATTAAAACTAATAGTTGCTTCTGGTAATAGTAGTTAATGGATCGAGCTAGCATGAACTATGCATTTTTAACATTGAAAAAACATTAATAAATACTGTAACACATGTATTGCTCATTGTTATTTCATGTTGGTAATGCATTAAAGGGTTAGTTCACCCAAAAATGAAAATTAGCCTGTTATTTACTCACCCTCGAAGCATCCTAGGTGTATATGACTTTCTTCTTTCAGACGAATCCAATCTGAGTTATATAAAAATTGTCCTGGCATTTCTAAGCTCTATCATTGCAGTGGGCGGGTGTTTTTGTTCAACAGTCCAAAACACATTAAATAAAGCGCACGCATCCATAATAAAACGTGCCTCACAAGGCTCCGGGGGGGTGAATAAAGGTATCCTGTAGTGAATCCATGTGTTTTTGTAAGAAAAATATCCGTATTTCAAACATAATAAACACTTCTCTCTCACTTCATCTAACTGTGGTACGTGGAAGCTGTTCCGGAGGATGATGTAGGACGTCGGTGTTGCGTGATTAGTGACGAACGCGGAGAGAGAACAAAACAAAATGCCAGTCATGAATTAGAAGTACAAACCGAGGATTTGTAAAGAAAAAACTTTGCTAAAGTAAGGAAACTTTGCTTCCTTTGCTCCTATAAACAAACTCGCGAGACTAGCATATCTCAGAGGCGCGCACTCTGTGTATACGTCCTACGTCATCCACCGGAACGCCTTCCTTCCTTCACTTATTCATCAGCTGGGATTGTATGGATTACTGTCATGTTCACTTTGTGTGGTTTTTGAAGCGTCAATTTTGGATATGCCATACAATTGCAAATATATCTTACAATTTTTTCTAAAAATCTCCAATTGAGTTCATCTGAAGAAAGAATGAAAGCCATATATATCTGGGATGACATGATAGTGAGTAAATAATGAAATAATTTTGGGTCGACTGTCCCTTTAAATATTCATTTGAACAGTCGCAGAACCTGTCACACTCACAGGTGACAGCTGACCAGCATGGATTTTTTGGTGAAAAGTGGTCTTGCTGGTTAGACGTCTGGTCGGGACAAACCAGAACACCAGCATCTAAAGTAGAACATATGTTGGTGACCAGTTCTTCTGCTCTTTTCAACATGGTATACATGAAATAAAAATGACAGAAGGAAAGAAAATGATGGAATTCAAAAACTGGATTACAAAAACTGGAATCTTTTCATGGGCACTGAGAACTTCACAGGGACGAAAAGAGTGCCAAACACCCTCCCGTGCAGACTTTACCTACCACTGAGACGGACAGCTGTACAGAGAGAAAAAACACTACACACTCACAGCCTCCTACGTGTATTGTGAAATCAAGAAAAAGTGCCATTTTTGAAAACTACTGCAAACAAACGAAACAAATGCTATCTGTTATTTTGATATGTTAAAATCCTTCACAACTTTGCAGAACCCTTATGGTGAGGCTGTGCAAATTTTGTTCTGTGGAATCTCAGCACACTACTGAACCCTTGAACAGCAAAGAGTGGGAAAACTTTTGTAATTAAATTAAATATAATAATAATA